TCTCCAGACGCTCGGCTGTTTTTCACCCCTTTGTTGTCGACAGAGCATGGATTCGAACCAAACGGTTTGCTTCACCATTCATAATGCGTACAAAGGAGTGGAATGATTTGCCAGTATTTGTCTTGCTATCCGATTATAATGTGGATGTCTTCAAGGCACGAGTGGATAGGCTTTTGCTAAGCTAAGCCAGTGCGCTTTAACATCTTCGGCTGCAATACCACTTACCATCAGGTGGGATAGTAGTTCAGCACTGGCTTATAATAGTAAAAAAATATTAAGCCCCATTATAATTATCTTTATAGCTTAAAAATAACAGGATAAAAGTTAAAATTACTTGAAAGTTGACATAAAATCATATTATAGTGAAATCGTCAGTCTAAGCGAGATTAGGATGGCTCTCCGGCACCTTAAAAATGGCAAGGCCCCAGGCGAGGATGGAATTACAGCGGAGCTTCTGAATGCGGGTGGAAAACCGGTACTTGAAGTCCTTCAGAAGCTCTTTAATTCCGTCCTCCATGGTGGCGTTACACCGGAGGCGTGGAGCAGAAGTGCGGTGGTCTTGTTCTTCAAGAAAGGTGACAACGCTCCCTTGAAGAACTACAGACCGATTTCCCTTCTGAGCTGCGACTACGTGCTGTTTTCGAGAGTCATTACGAATCGTCTCGCGCACAGACTTGACGACTTCCAGCCTCCCGAACAAGCCGGTTTCCGAAAGGGCTTTAGCACCATAGACCACATACATACCCTTCGGCTAATTGTACAGAAGTCCGAAGAGTACAATTTGTCACTATGTCTGGCGTATGTGGACTATGAGAAAGCCTTTGATTCCGTCGAAATTTGGGCGGTGCTGCAGTCCTTTCAGCGGTGCCAAGTTGACTGTCGGTATATCGAAGTGCTGAAGTGTTTGTACAGTAGAGCTACGATGGCTATCCGAGTACAGAATCAGAGTACGAAACCTATCCAAATTCAGAGAGGTGTAAGACAGGGTGACGTTATATCTCCGAAACTCTTCACCGCTGTATTGGAAGGCGTTTTCAAGCTACTGGACTGGAAAGGATGCGGTATAAACATCAATGGCGAGTACATCACTTACCTTCAATTTGCCGACGATATAGTCCTTATGGCAGAATCGCTGGAGGACCTAAGAATAATGCTCAATGACCTCAATATTGTCTACCAACGGATAGGTCTTAAGTCACACCTATGCCGGTAGTTGTTGGGAGCACTAAGCTCGAGGTTGTTGACGAGTATGTTTACCTGGGACAAATAGTCCGACTAGGTAAATCCAACTTCGACCGAGAGGTCAATCGACGGATTCAACTCGGCTGGGCAACGTTCGGGAAATTACGACACATCTTCTCGTTAGACATACCTCAAAACCTGAAAACGAAATTGTACAACCAGTGCGTGTTGCCAGTGATGACTTAAGGAATCTGAGACATGGTCCTTCACTGCTGGCCGTATGAGGAAGCTTAAGGTCGCTTAGCGAGCTATGGAGAGGGCTATGCTCGTGGTTTTCCTGCGTGATAAACTTAGAAATGAAGATATCCGCAGTAGAAGCAGAATAACCGACATAGCCCAACGGATTAGTAAGCTGAAGTGGCAGTGGGCCGGCCATATAGCTCGAAGAACCGACAACCGATGGGGAAGAAAGGTTCTCGAGTGGCAGCCTCGTACCGGTAGACGAAGTGTAGGGCGACCCCCCACTAGATGGAGTGACGACCTGGTGAGATATGCAGGAAGTCGATGGATGCAGGTGGCTTAGGACCGTTCTTTGTGGCATTCCTTGGGGGAGGCCTATGTTCAGCCGTGGACTTGTGAAGGGCTGTAATGATGATGATGATGATGATAGTGAAATTAAAGTTAAAATAATCTTAAATTATTTAATTTATCGAAATATATTTACATCTTGTATATTTGCTATTAAACTAATATGTAAGAACGAGATAATTAGTTATGCCTGTATATTTCATGTGCTGTTCCCGCCGCCGAAATCACGCCAAGACCTTTTTTCTAAAAAATAAAAAAATAAACATATATTTTGGTACATAGGCTTGAATGCAGTAGACATAATATCTCCATCTCATTATCTGTATTTACAAATTAATAAAATTTGAATATGAATTTGATTTGAACTTGATACTTACAATAGCATGACCCCCTTCCTTAATAGCGTTTACATTGATTTGAAGCGCCGCATCGTTGCCGTGGACCAACAACTTAATCATCGCCATCACCATCATTAGGAGAGCCGATAGTTACATATTGCTTAGTTATTAACTATATACAACGGTGACACAAGCGTTGGCTTTAAAGGGTGTTGTTGGTATGACACATGAAGCTTCTTTAACAACTGTACATAAACGTTTCCAATAGTGAAGGTTTTCTGTTCGGGTTATACCCACAACAGCTATGAATTTACCCAGATTATTAATATATGTATTTTGATTTATTTGCACGAAATTTTTCTCCTATGTATATAAATCCTAGTTTTTTATATCAAAAATACATACATACATATAATCACGTCTCTTTCCCGTCGGGGTAGGCAGAGACCACTTCTTTCCACTTGCTACGATCCTTACATACTTGTTTGGCTTCGTCCACTTTCATTATTCCCTTCATACATGCTCTACGGTTTAGGGTACTCTTGACCTGGCCTTTTTTCAAGACGTCCCTGATTTGTCTAGAAATGTCCGCCTAGGTCTACCCCTTCCAACACTTTCATTCACACTCGCCTTATACTCTTTTTTCGTCAATCGTTCTTCATTCATTCTGTCGACATGGCCAAGCCATCTCAGCATACCTTTCTCAATTTTTGTCACTACATCTTCTTTCAGACCACAACGTTTCCTTATCTCACTATTTCTTATCCTGTCACTCAGTTTAACTCCTATCATACTTCTTAACGCTCTCATCTCAACTGCATTTATTCTGCTTTCATGTTTCTTCTGCCATACCCAACTTTCACTTCCGTACACGAGTGTCGGAACCAACACCCCCTTATGCCACCTTCCGACTGCTCATAAAGAAGTGCAAAGCTCCATTCACCATGTTTCCTGCATTCACTCTTCTTTCGATATACTCTCACACTTTCCATCTCTTGTAAACTTTGAACCCAGATACACAAACTCTTTCACTTGTTCAATTTGTTCATCTTCAATCACGATATTGCAGTCTGTCACTGCCTCATCTTTTTCAAACACCATCACTTTCGTCTTCCTTACATTCATCTTCATTCCCTTTCTAATAAAAGCTCCACTCATAGCAGTTACCATCTCCTGCAACTCCTCGGCTGAAGACGCAAGTAATACTTGGTCATCAGCATAGAGAAAACATGTGACGAGTAACTCATTCATTCTCAACCCACTTTCATTCTCTTTTAAATCTGTCAAACAATTGTCCATGAACAGATAAAACAGCCACGGTGACGCTACACATCCCTGTCTAACACCTTTTTCGATATTAAACCATTTAGTGTATGCCCCGTTTATCCTTACACAAGCACTAGAATCCCTATAAAGAGATTGCAATGCTCGTATGAGGATACTGCTCACACCGTTCACGGACAGTGCTGACCACAATTCATTCCTCACCACTCTATCATAGGCCTTTTCTAGATCCACGAACGCACTCAATCCACAAAAATGTAATCTTAAAATTACGGATGCTTATAAAATAACTCTAAACCTTATATATATATATTTTAAGGAAATTATTGATGAATATTCGACAATAAAGAATATGCTCTACTTGATACACAATCAAGATAACATTTATGAAGCGACAGTAGCCTAATGGCTGGGCGCGGACCACGAACTCAATAGATCGTGGGTTGAAATCGAATTCGTAGGGTACTATAATGTGGGGTGCGAAGTCAGAAGTCCTCCACGTGTGCCTGGTAGTTGCGGGTCACTCTCGATACGTCTGGAGGGAAGAGCAGATACTGGGCCGGTGCACCCTGGGTGCGGCAGTAATCTTCCTCGAGAAATGAGAAGAAATTCTTACTCCTTGGGGAATGGTACTGCCGCGGCTAATTATTCTGACATGGGGGGGGGGTCCGTCCCGGACCAACGGTGCGTTCCACTGCGTGACCCTCTGATCAGCAGAGGGCATAGCAGAGGAGTGAGGGCGGGCTCGGTGTGCACTTACCCTGCCTCCGGGCAGACAGTGAAGGATTCATCCTTTGCTGTCACCGCCGGTCTCGTAATCCCAGTATCGAAGTGTCGTGGATCACGTCTCGCGGCTTTGATAGGGACCGAGGGTCTTGGCTTAACCGCCCGGACCGCGAGGTAGAAAACCTCTATAAAAAGTTACCCCGAATCTCAAGCGGCGACGCACCGCGAGGGGATGGATGGCTGACGGGGTTCTATGAACAAATCAGTCGTTAGTGCGCTCCTCGCCAGGGTACCTGCAGACCCCCTGGCGAGTAATAAATCCTCTAAATCTGCTTACCTTGGTAAGGGGTCTCTGCCAAGGTGGACTTTTAATTCCCCCATACTCGTGGGTACAAAAATGGAAAACAAAAACAAACAAAAAACCAAAACCGCCGGCAACGGCAACGTAGAGGAGAGGAGGAACGATGCGGGGACAGAGGGAGGCTCAGAGAGCTCCCGACAAGTGGAGGACCTGGGACCGCGGAGACCAGCAAGTTCTTCCGCAAGCGGTCCAGGCGGGATGGCGACCAGGGGTCGGCATCCGGTGAAGAGGAGGTTTCGGCCCGGAAAATCCCCACCAACAGGCGGGGCCGGCTGAGAGGCAAGGGGAGGGAGCTCTCTACCAATCAGAGGGCCGAACGAGCGGCAAAGCTTGCCGAGGAGGGGCGCCACCCGGACGATACGGCTCGGGAATCAGGCGAAGAAACAAATGCGACTGGCGGCTCCGAGGTGGAGCGTAAGGCCAGATTCGTAAAGGAGGTGGAGGCCGCAATCAAGGTCGTGGCCAACAACCAAAAGTCCTCCTCGAAATTCAAGGCCATTCCCGCGGCCTCCGCCTCCATCATGGCGGCTGCGGAGGCCAACTTTGCTGGGGCTGGGCCTAATGCGGACGAGGTGGCGAAGCTGCGGGCGGACGTGGCCCGCCTGACGTCCGCCATGGAGACTCTCCAGAAGGAGAATGACAAGCTCCGCGCAGACCTGGCCAGTCTACATGAGCCTGCCCCTCGCGCGGCGCCCCAGACGCAGCGCCCAAGCCAGCCCGTGCCGGTGGAGAACCAGGTTCTGAACCAGGTCCGGCAGGAACTGGCTGCCTTCCAGCACCGGTTCTCCGTGCTGGAGGGCATCGTCCTGCGCCCCCCCCCCCCTAGGGGCAAACAAGACGGCGGCGAGGCCGGCAACGGCTTCTTACGCGACGGCCACGGCTGCCGCATCCAGGCCGGGGCCGTCCAGCCAGCCCTCGGGTGGGGCTGCAGTTGCCCCTCCCCCCCTGAAAAGCCGGCTCCGGCAAAACCGATACCGGCTGAACCGGCTCCGGCTAAGCCGGTGACGGGAAAGAGAGGCAAGGCGAAGGCGAAAAAGGGCAACGCGGCAGCACAGGTGATGGCTGCGCCAGCCCCAGTGCCTGCGGCGAATGGGCCAGCGCCAGCGGCAAGCCAGCTGCCGCTGCCGCCGCCGCCACCGCCCCCCAAGCTCCCTACACCTCCCGAGGCAGAAGCCGGTTGGCAGGTGGTCGGGGACAAACAGAAGGGGAAGAAGGCAGCCAAAAAGACCAAAGAGCAGGAGCGGCAGCGCCAGTTCAGGACGCGCAAGATCGCGGCTAGGCTCCGCGCCCCGAAGACCGCAGCTGTAGTGATTACACTACAGCCGGACGCGGAAAAGAAGGGCATTACCTACCGCGATCTGCTCGCGAAGGCGAAAGAGGCGGTAGATCTCGGGGAGCTCGGGATCACTGGGGGCCTCCGGCTTAAAGTCACCCAGACGGGGGCCCGTATGCTGGAGATCCCCGGGGAATCCAGTGGCGCGACTGCGGACGCTCTGGCTGCGAAGCTCAGAGCGTCCCTGAACGCGGACGAGGCCCGAGTGTCCAGGCCCGTCAGATGCGCAGACCTGCGCATCATGGGTCTGGACGACTCGGTATCGGAGGAGGAGTTGGTGGCCGCCGTCGCCAGGTCCGGGGGGTGCACTACTGACCAGGTCAGGTCAGGCGCCATACGCCCGGATCAACAGGGTATGCATTCCGCCACGGTGTGCTGCCCTGTTACGGCGGCCAAAACCATAGTGGAGGGCCGAAGGCTTCTGGTGGGCTGGGTCTCAGCGCAGGTTAAGCTGCTGGAGCCCAGACCTCTGAGGTGCTACCGCTGTCTCGTGGGGCATCACGTATCAGTGAAATGCGCCTCGGAGGTTGACCGCAGTGGCCTTTGCTTCCGCTGCTGTCAGCCCGGACACATATCGGCGACCTGCTGCGCCACGCCGCACTGTGATGCATGTGCGGCGACCGACAAGCTAGCCGATCACTGGGCCGGAAGCAGGGCCTGCGTGTCACCCGCCAAGGCCAAGGCCGCGGGTAGGGGAGGGCCCTCCTCCGCCGCCACCGCCTCTATGGCCACCGCCGCAGCTGCAACTGCCGCCGCCGCCGCTGTCACTGTCGCCGCCGCCGCCGCCGCGACACCGACGCCTGCAGAGGGGCGCCCCGTGGAGGAAGCTGAAATGGAATGCCTATAACGGCCCCATTAAGCTTCCTCCAGGCGAATATCAACCACTGCGCCTGCGCTCAGGATCTGTTGCTCCAGAGCATGGCGCAGTGGTCGATTAACATCGCTGTGGTTGCTGAGCCGTATTTTGTCTGGCCTAGGAAGGACTGGGTGGCGGACCTTAACGGCTCAGTGGCCATCATCTTGTAACGAACCCCCCCCATCTTTTTTCTTTTCTACTATATATCCACTTATACTTGTATTTCTTTAGAATCTATATCTGTAAGATATATAAATATATCTAATTTACGTGACCAGTATAACTTGATCTTTCTAAAGGTTTAAATATAGGCCGTTTAATAAATTTATGGCGTGATCGTCTTAGTTAGGACCCTTTTTTACGTTGTGATTGTATAGTAACTTAGTTCTTTTAGGTGTATCTTGGAAGAATGAATATTCACGAGAGCAATCGAAAGCTGTTGGTAGAGTCTTATAAGCTAAAGAACCCCGTTCACGAAGACAGAGCTCAAAAAGGTTAAGAACAATAAATTGTGCCTATTCCACTTGTATCTGGTTCACAACAGTCAATTCCTTATTAATTAATCCCTTCCCGCTTGGAAAAGGCTCACAATATTTATATCAAATACCAGTTACAAGGGCTTCGCTCTCCCACATTTAAAAAAAAATGTGGAGGAGGTACACGGCCCCACACACGCCGCGCACGGTGAGCGCCAACCATTTTAATGCGCTCCCCCCCGAAGGGTACGCAAAGTTGGGAACTGGACCGTAGTCCACAGCAAAATAACTGGCGGACCAGTAAAAGAGGACTTGGCCCCTTGACAGTGCGTAAGCACAAACATCGACCGAAGTCGCGCATGTCAATGCGTGTAAACGCCATACAGAATACGATCAAATCCAGCCACAGTGAAATGTACGTCACACGGGTTAGGCAACAATCGGCACACTGACCATAAAAAGCCCTCCGTGAGCGCCACCACCTGCCAGACCGCCGTTTCTGCAGACGTGATGTAAGTGTAAGGCATCACCACCAATTGCATGGTTAGCACGGCCAATTGGCCGCAGATCGTGTCATGAGTCTACCGCTCACCTCAAGGGAAATGGGGTCCCACGTTGCGCGGCTTTCGGCCGCAGCCTTGAGAGCCTCCTCAGATTCTCCCTCCAGCTACCACCCGCATGAGGTCAACACATATGCTGCACCAACCAATACAATGGCAGATATAGCCAATAGGCAGTTATAAGATAATATTAATAATTCGCCATCAGAATGGGTTTGCGTCACTGACGTTGAGTACATGCATTTTTCGATCATGTTTGTCTCACCCACCAACAAGTTGCCTTCAATCTCTCAAAGGTGGGAACTTTATAGAGATATATTATTAAGTTGTTATATAATAAAACATCATGGAGGGCAGACAGTCTGCAGCCCCGCAATGAAGGGACCCGACTTGGGCAAAGCTACTTAGGTTGTGAGTCAAACCAAGACGCAGAGAGCGCCATTGAGAATAGCGACCCGCCAAACAACCATCGTAGAAACGCAATGCTACAGAATGCAATAAGCATCAATACGACTATCGTCGGGCTTACACCATCCCAAGGTCCCCCATACAGCCCCAGCAGACATCACCACCCGCATACCTCCATCGCCCAGAACCACAAGATGCATCGAATCAGGTGCAGCACACCCGCAGATCCATCACAAGACACAATACTGCAAGTAGCAGTAAGCATCAATGCAACTATCATACGGATGGCGCCCCCTCACAACACACCCACCACATGATCCCTATCGACTTTGGTAACAAAATTTGATAATGTTGTTAACTAAAAATACCACCAACGTATCATAGTAGCACGGTACTAAGACGTCAGTAGCCAATACTCCACGTATCATAGCGCTATTGCACTAAGACATGAAGTTGAGTATGCTTGCTGCACTTAAAAGTACTACCAAACACACTCACCCTAATCCGAAAGATAGCCGACGTATCATAACGCTATGCGCTAAGACGCCGCCCACAACCGGTAGGGATGTGCGATGTCCACGGGCAAGTCGTATTGCTACAACAAACCCGCTTACCACCGGCACTAAGATGATATGTCTAGGACACATCGGTTAGTGAGTCCAAGTTTACCTCGGTCTCAGAGGCTGCGAAGCAACCTACACGCCACTATAATAATCCTTTTCAAGTCCCATTTCTTTCAATATAATGCTTTTACATATTTGAGACCTTCCACATATTTGCTTTATTTCATAGACCATACTACTGTATGTCTTATTCATATGGGACTTCAAGTCATAACTCTGCTATCATAATGCTTATGCATCATAGAGACCTTCTATATTAATGCTTTGGTTCGTTAGACCTTACTATGTTAAGTCCCTAATATAGGACTAGTCATTGTGCAACCTTAGTACTAGCAGTCGGTCAGCCGACCACCCCATATATATGTACAACCTTGGGTATGTGTCTCCGACAACGCCCTAATATAAGGGAACATTACAAGAACACGTTCATTAACTTAGAAATTTTCCAATTATTACACGAACACCTACATCAACTTAGAAAATTTTAATCCATTTTTTCTATTATATTACAAATGTTATTTATCTTTGTTATTGCAATATAATCGCCTTGTATTTATATGATTTGATACATTTTGAACATTTTAAGCAGGTTTTTAATAAATTTAGAGATTTTTAGAGACATTTTATGCGTTTACTAATATATATAATATTCAATATTCCAAATGGATATTTTTGAACTTTATGCTTATTATTTGCATTTTATTGTTTAAATTATAATTTCTAAGACATTTTTAAATGTCTGTATAATGAATTTAATTATTATTTATTAATAATAATTATGAGGCGTCACAATCTCTTCGGCCGCCGCCGGTACCCCGACCCTTAAAGGTGTCAGGAGGGGTCAGGGGTGCGTAGCAGCACGGTTCGGGGAGTTCGTCGTTGTGGGGGTGTACTTCTCCCCGAACCGATCTCTCGCCGAGCTCCACAACTCTCTTGCAGAGCTGAGAGCAGTCGTCGTCGGAAGCTATCCCCTCCCCGTGCTTGTCCTCGGGGACTTCAATGCCAAGAACTTGGCTTGGGGTTCTCGTCGTACAGATGTGCGGGGTAGGATGGTGGAAGACTGGGCTCTGGAGACAGGCCTGGTCGTCCTAAATCGGGGTTCTGTCCCCACGTGTGTGCGGATGCGGGGCGAGTCGGTGGTGGACATTTCGTTCGCTAGCCCCGTTCTGTCGCCGCGTGCCATTGACTGGCGAGTCATGGAGGGGGTGGAGACCTACTCCGATCACCGGTACATCCGGTTTGACGTCTCCACCCAGCCGTCGAGCGCGCCAGTCCAACAGGCCCCGAGTGGTCCCCGTTGGGCGCTGAAGCAGCTGGACCGGGAGCTCCTCCTGGAAGCTTCGATCGTGCAGGCCTGGGTGTCATCACCGGATAGGCCTGCCGACGTCAATGATGAGGCAGGGTGGTTCCAGGAGGCCATGTCCGAGATATGTGACGTGGCAATGCCCCGCGTCCGGCCAGGAAGCGCCCGGCGCCAGGTGTATTGGTGGTCGCGTGAGCTGACGTCTCTGCGCGAGGCGTGTGTCGCCGCGCGGCACCTGTACGCCAGGCATCGCAGGCTCCGCATTCGTCCACCGAATGAGGCAGCCATTGAGGCGGAGCTGTACGAGGGATACAGAGCGGCGAAGACCGCCCTCCGGGAGACTGTCATACGGGCCCGGGATCGGGCCCGTGAGGAGATGCTGGAGACTCTCGACAGAGATCCGTGGGGGCGCCCTTACAAGATGGTGCGGAATAAACTCCGCACCTGGGCCACCCCGCTGACGCAGAGTCTCCAGGGTCAGCTCGTGGAGGACGTGGTGAGCGCTCTGTTTCCTGCGCGAGGGGAACATCCGCCCCCGCCTATGGCTCCGCCACCTGCGGTGTCGGAAGCGGACCACCAGGACGACGACGACGGCATCCCGGAAGGGACCGGGGTAGACCTGAGAGTGGCGGTACGTAGGCTCAAGGCCAGGAATACCGCCCCAGGACCCGATGGATTGCCTGGCAAAGCCTGGGTCCTGGCCTCGGAGGCTCTCGGGCCCCGACTGGAGGGGCTCCTAAGCGCATGCTTGGAGAGAGGCCGATTCCCGCTTCGTTGGAAGACGGGGAAGCTGGTCCTCATTCGGAAGCCGGGGCGCCCTGCGGACTCTCCGTCCGCATACCGGCCCGTGGTGCTGCTCGACGAGGTGGGCAAGCTCTTTGAAAGAGTCATTGCAAACCGCCTCGCCGAGCACCTTGCGGGGACGGGGCCGGATCTTGCGGAACACCAGTTTGGTTTCCGCAAGAGGCGCTCTACGGTGGACGCCATCATGCGCGTGAGAGCCCTCACGACGGGGGATGCAGTGGCCAGGGGGGGGAGGTTGTTTTGGCAGTGTCTCTCGACATCGCCAACACCTTCAACTCCATGCCCTGGAGCTGCATTAGGGAGGCACTCCGGTATCACCGGGTGCCGACCTATCTCCGTCGTATAGTCGGGGACTATCTGACGGATAGGGCCGTCATCTACCCCGGTCGCAACGGTGAGTGGAACCGGCGAGAGATGTCGTGCGGTGTCCTACAGGGTTCGGTTCTGGGGCCGCCCCTGTGGAACATCGGTTACGACTGGGTGCTGCGCGCCGACCTCCCTACCGGCGTCAGCTTAGTTTGCTACGCTGACGACACGCTGGTACTGGCACAGGGGGGGTCGTGCGAGGCGGTGGCGGAAAATATGACACGCGGGGTTGCGATAGTCGTTGAGAGGATCCGGCAGCTGGGTCTTGAGGTGGCTCTGCACAAGTCCGAGGCCATGCACTTCCATGGTCCTCGGAACAGGCCACCACCGGGATCCTCAGCGATGGTAGGAGGGGTATCCATCGGCGTCGAGTCGACGTTGAAGTACCTAGGACTCGTCCTCGACGGCCGATGGAACTTCATGGAGCACTTCCGACGTTTGGCTCCCAAAC